ACATAGGTAATTCACCTGCAAACCTATTTCTGCACCGTCGCCATGACTAACAATCGCAACGTGGAATTCTCGACGCCATACAGTACGTGTGTTCCCATCCGGGAAGCCAGACATCTTGATTCAGCCACCTAAACAGAAGCCACAAGGATCTCAGTCGATAACTGGTGGAAAAGAAACCGATATATTTCACTGCCCCGGCATAATACGAAAATGTCTTGGTGAGTAGATAACTAGGCACTAGGTACCTAGGTAGATAGGTAGGAAGGTATAAAGTGGCTTCCCTATGGGTAGCCATTAGTTAGACGACCCATCTTCCGAGACAATGGCGTCAACGCCACATGGGTTGTAAGATAACCGGAGTAGACGTCGGAGATTTCACTTATGCAGGGTAGAAGAATCCTCAGCAAAATAAAAGCAAATGCTTTTTATTAGGTATTGGTGGCACTGGATCCAATCAGAAAAAAGTCTGTAGGAACTTCAATAACATCCGTGGATAGGTAGGCTAGGCTAGATTTGATGACGACGCCAGCTTGACTCGATGCACCATCCGACAAGCCTCACACGCGGCTCAGAGAATTTTTCTACACATTTAAAGCTTCCCAAGCCGTCTTTTTAAAGAGCTGCCTGGCCAAGTCGTACACGCAGGATCAAGTATCCCGCCATGTACGCCTTCAATTCCAAAGTAGCTCTAGTTCGCAGAAGTAGAACTACAAGTCGGATCTCGGACCAAAAGCTCCCTTTGTCGAGGAACCTGCTCAATTCCCGCCGTCTTACTTAAAAGTCTGAAATATCCTCATGCCGCTTTCAGGTCAAGAGGTAGGAAAATCGCATTTTTCACAGAGTATATATGTATATATGTATGTTTCTCGTACAATCCATATCGCATTCAAAGACAAATCAAGAGCTTCGATTCTCGCTGCTTCCCTATTAACTTAAAGTTACTAAGTAAACTAAGACTTGCAGAACTCGCAGCCTACCCCATCAACCCCCCTCCAAACCCGGCATAGCTAAAACTGGGCCCAAGCAGCCCCCTCAGCCCCCGTGACGGACCTAATCTCGATCGTCGGGCGAGCTAACAGCCGTCCGGGTCCGGCCAAGACGCGGCATTACGTCGCGATCATGTAATCCGTGCATCTAGCTCCCCCAATCGTCATAGACTTTTCTCCTCTGCCCGAGCAACGAGAATTACACAAAATCCCTGACGCTTAACTGCCAAAATACTACTGCCATGCGGTGGTACTTTACCTAAGACGAACTGGTAATGAACCAATCTCTTCGAGATACTTCGAGATACTTCGAGATACTATGACTCTTAAAAACGGTGATTCGTCAGTTATGTCACAATGCAGTACGTGAAGATTGGATCTTATAGGTCCGTCTTCCGCGTTTCATGCTTCGCAACGCGGGCAAATCCTGCTTCGGTGGCTACAGCCACAGTCTCGGTGAGAGTGAGAGTCAGAACGTGTGTGGTTGGTGTAGTTGGTGTAGTTGTTTGTATGTAGGAACCAACCAATAAGTACCCCCATTGGCGTGACCCTCTAGCATTCTTCGCCTCAGGTACTGGTACCTCTAAACGTCACCGATCAATCAATCGTTCCACCCAAGCTTCCCCCGCACATCTGTGCATCACAGAGGAGACCCCACCATCGTCATTGAACACACCTAGGCTCTAGGTCTAGCTCCTGGTTGGGTGACTGTTCACTTGTGTATCGACCGGTCGAACGTTTAAAATCAATTGGGGCCCCTGTTTGATTCCTTTCCTTCTTCTCTTCTATACGATTTGTATTGTTGTGGTAGTGTGGTCAGACCCTCCAGAAACATTTTGGGAATTTCGTTGAGGTTCAGATATATATCGAAATCCCTGATAGCTGATAGGTCTTATAATACGAATCGGTACGAACGAAATATAGCAACCATGGAGCGACTTCACCATAGTATGTTTAAGCCCTGTAAACGAAGGAGCTGGCGCTGATAAACCCAATAGTAAATCCGTTCGCGAAGCGCGATTCCCACAGTAAGAATACGGTTGTTACTTGGTATGTAATGGTGTCCCAATTTTGAAGATTCTGATCGTGGCTAATAATGCGATAGTATGTCGTTACACATACCACTTTGCGAACCCTGAACCGTCTGCAAGTATAGTGTTAACATACAACAGATAAGGTCTTGACGACGATTACCTGGCTGCTGTCCATCGTCGTCTCGATATACTATACCTTCGAGAAACCCCATGATGGCGTCTGGCCTCGTCGAAAGATATGGCACCAGAATGACAGGTTCCACACGGCGTTCCGACTAAATTCCATCATCGCTAGCATCTATTGGTAAGATTGAACAGGTCTCATTGTGTGGTGAGCTATCCCCATCTAACAATTGCTCTCAATTAGGATCGTCCTATTCGTTCTCCAGGGAGGCTACATCGCTCATCTATTCTCCGGCACCGTGGAACACGTGAACGCAGCTTGCTCGGTGGGCAGTCACTTCATCGTCAACAATCTGTTCCACTTCGCCTTCGTCATGCTATTCGTGCGCTCCTATTTCGGCTGGGCGGAGCTGTTCCTCATTCTGAATTTCTTCAACTTGAGTTCGCTATACTTCCGCCATCCAGGATATGTTCGATTCATCCACACGCCTGTTGTATCGGGACCCTTGGCATGGACTTTTGTTGCGATATATTGGAACGGAGCTATCATGGTGCCTCATCCCGACACCCTTGTTGCCCGTATATTTGGTAACATTTTCATCTGGTCTATCCTGGTATACGGTCTGTTTTTCATCATCGTTTACAAGGTAAGTGGAAACCCCATTATTGCGTCATAACTCCCACATGGAGCTAACGTCTGCAGGATTACACCATGGGTTTTAACCTAAGTGTGCTGTCAGCGGCGATTGGGGTGTCCCAATTCTTGCGACAGGTCATCGCGTTCCAATGGATCTTCGCTTTTGTCATCATGGCTATTCTCTTCGTAGCTACTCTTGTGATAGCTGTACCTGCGGCAACCGGAAGATTTGCGAGAGCTCGACAGAGTGATACGGAACGAGCTCCTCTCCTCGGTGAGAATTAAGGTACTAGGTGGGGTGTATGGTCATCAATGGATGTAAGAGGTAGTAGGAACTTTGAAGTTTGATGCTCAGAATTAAGTATGACACTGTCGTTTTAGATGCCCTTTATAGTTTGGTTAGTATAACGGCATTGATGGGTTGTTAGGCAAGAGGAGCGAATCATAGTAAAATAATTTGTGACATCCAACTAGTAAAAGGTAAAAAAAATGAAAAAAGGTGAAACTTAGCTGTGAAGAAGAGTGCTTGACGTCCCTAAGCCTCAGTAAGGGCCTCTTTTGAGGTTAAGGGAGGTCAAGTGGGGTGATAACGATAAGAGCAACAGCACACCCGTACGTGATGGGCATTGGATCTCGGAACACCGACGCAGCGTCATTAACCGCTAAAAATTCAGCATGGAAAAAAATACCAAACAATATATTCCCCATACATCATGATGCTTCCAAGGCTGCCAGCATTAAATATCGGCACAGATATTTGTGACGCCCGCAGGATCCTCAGGCTATTAGCTGGTAAGGCGGGTCTTAGATTTGTTCAGCGCGTTCTTACCAAAGAGGAGTTGAGCCTCGATGGCAGCAAAAAAGTCATAGCTGCCATTGCCAATAAACCAACTACATTCAAACTCCCGCTAAAGCGTGGAAAAGATTTGGATCCGCTGTTTCTCACGAGTTTCCGAGCACTAGAGAAGGCGGCTCAGTACATGGCCGGCAGGTTGGTTGAATCACCGACAATCGAGGATAACATTGGACAACTAACTTTTATAACAGATGGGCAGCAAAAGAGGCAGTTCAAAAGGCTTATAACATCCGAAGGATGAGCCTCCATGACATAGAAATCAAGACCAAGAGCCAAATATTTCCTGGTTCAGAACCTCGAGTTCCTCCCCTCCTAGAACAAGAACAAGAGGAACCAGAGCAAAACACCGACTCGAAATCTGCTGCCAACCCTCTCGACTCCGAGCAGAACTCAGAGCAGAAACCAGATCCCTTAACCGAGAAGCTCGAAACTATGACCGGCTCGGGACCGCCGGTCGCCGTCATCAAAGGCCACGGCATCTATGAAGATGTATACGCGAGCATTAGTATTAGTCACGACGGTGGATATGCTATAGCTTCGTGCATAGTAGATAATTCATGGCCAAAGCGACTACAGCACGAAGAACCAAATAAGAACGAATCTGATGTGGATTGAGCTGGTATCTGGTGCCGTTTTTTACCTGGCTTATACACCATATAAATGTTTGGCTTCCTGTCGCGTAAACCATAGTCTTCAAGTAAAATCGACAGGGACGTGCGTGACCTTTGGTGGCTACCTAGGTCCTAGGTCCTAAGAAGACTGATTGCCAGTGAGACGGGTGAATGTACAATACATACATTTGGCTGTGCCTGGAGCACTTTGAGGCTAGGGGTTAACGTCAAACCCTTAGACTTCAATGTTGCTAAGAACAATGAAGATTAAGGACTAAGGAAAAAAAGAGACCTGTTGTACTATACTCGAACATTTGAATCTTACCTAGATTTGATAGACATGAACGAGTGAATTACCGCTGTGTATTCGCTGTATATTCGTAGAGAAGGAAATCTAAAGCATTCACTTAAGTCCTACTTCCCACCTGTCCCCCCTGTCCCCCCTGTATCTTCCTGTAGCTCTTCCGTACCTATCTTTCGCTGGGCACCCACTTACAGCTGTACTAGATAGGTTAAATACGCCACTTGGGACCAATTGTAAACTTTGATAACTAAATGAACCTACTACATTGTTAAGCTCTACGGCTACTAAGTGTTGACTTTTTATTTCCAGTCTTTCGTGTCCTACTTCTCACTTTAGCCCCGCACAATTTTTTCTTGAGGCGCTAATGCCCGAATTTGTTCTTTATAATACATAATTAGCCGCAAATTTTCATCATCGGCATAGAACGAAATGTATGTGACGATGAAGTAGACTGCTTGGCGCAATGGTAGCGCGCGGTCCTCCTACTACAACGGGTTATCCCTTGTTATAGGCAGTGATAGACTGAGGTTGCGGGTTCGAGTCCCGTGGTGGTCGTCCCTTTTTGCCATTCCTGTCGTTCCCGGTCGTCCCCGGTCGCGATCGTTCAATTCCTTCGCAACTGTTCGTTTTTGATGTTCCTATTATTTGAGCGATGCGCCGCCTTCTTTCGGTAAGATAAAAACTGGTCATTTTTTTCTCTTTCCTGTCATGCTCAAAAGTCAATATCACATATTTATTTTACACATATCAAAATCATACGTTATGCAGCATTTATCTTCAATGTCAGTGCACAGTTTTAGATATAGCTCAATGACTGAATGTTTCTACCATGAATATGTGATTTGGTAGAGACGGCTGCTATGCGTCGTCGTTGTGGAATTTAAGGGGTATATTAACAAGATGTGATGTCCCTAATGAATATGGGTTTTCTATCGTGCTCGGTCCTTCCTACATTGTTAAACAAGCCTGGAATACATGCCGGAAACCACGTTCAGCAATCAGGTACCTGGAAGGTATTGTACAATACAATATTACAATGCAATACGCTGGAACGCTAAGGTAGGATCGGAAGCATCAGATCTTCCTAACCTTAAATTCTATTAGGTTACAGAGCCTCAGCAGGGTTAATTAGGTAGTTAGTGACCTTGGTCCTTCCGGCGTGCTTCCGTACCTGAATAAAACAAACTACAAACTCCAAACTCCAATATTCCACGATCGTCAACTTCCTTCTATCATCACATATACGTTTCTCGACGTTGTCGCGTGAAAACTTTTACTATTACCAAACTAGCGTATCTAGGCAGCGACGAATTGACTCGTCCAAATCTTATTTTTCTTTTTTCCTTGTTCGTAACTACCTAGGTCCTAGGTCCTAGGTCCTACCTATAAATCCTAGTTACCTATTGCCTAGTAATTAACAATAATTTACAATGGCTACCGATGTGGATCTACCAAAGAGACAAATCACCCCGGTCCCAGTACCTGTTCTGCCACTGCCACTGCCAGTATCCGTTCCCCAGAAGCGACCTCTCGAAGATGACCACGCGCCACCCGTGTCCTCACCTCTCAACCCAAACCCAGATGTAAAACCTAGCAGAACTCAGTCGCATGACGACGTACCAGTCATGGCGCGTGAGAAACCTGCAAGGAATAAAAAGGAGAGCACCAAGAAACGTGAATCTAAAGCTGGTGCTGGCGTCGATAGCTCTAGAGCAACACCCGACCCTAAGATCAAGGAACTTCAACTACCTCCAAATGAGTCTTCGCCTTTGCGTTATAAGTTAGCGCCACCGAAGCCCTCAGATTTCGAGACAGCTCGAGGTCCAGTATTCACTCCCCGCCAAGATGTCATCACTGCTCCTGACGGTTCTACCATCCAATTCTACGAGACATCCGAACAGTCAGTCGCGTTTCTGATACCACCACACTTGCAGTCTTTTGCTAATCTTCATCTAGTGTCTACAACAAAAAGAGTTACCACTACCTACACTGCATCGCCGATCCTGCCTTCCCTTCCTCCTTCTACTACCGACAGACAGAACCCGAACCTTACGGCGCTCACATTAGCTTCGAAGATGCCGCCACACACATGTACATGGACCAACTGGGTCGGCACATAACAACAGACAAGGGTTTTAGAACGGCAAGAGCCAATGTAGCTATTCGCCAAGGTCGATGGTATTGGGAATGCAGGATAACTAGAGGTACCACCAAGAGCAACGCAGATGGAAGTGTCGAGTCGCATGGCCACGTACGTCTAGGGTTTGCCAGACGTGAAGCCTCGCTGGACGCACCTGTTGGTTACGATGCTTACAGCTACGGTATCCGGGATGTACAGGGCCAGAAGGTACACATGTCGCGACCTAAGGATTTCTTTCCGCCTGGCGAAGACATCAAGGAAGGCGATGTGGTTGGACTCGAGATTCAATTACCATCGGAACAATTGCACAGAAAGGTCGTCCAAGGTCATTACAACCCTGCTGTCGACTCACTAGATGACGAAGAGCCCACTGCAGAAGCCGCCAACATCGTTCGCGATCGAATACCAATTCGTTTCAAGCAGCACATCTACCTGGAGAAGATCGATTATCACACAACGAAGGAGCTTGAGGACCTTATGAACCCTTCCCCTGCAGGCCCGTCGGGTCCGGTAGGTAGTAGGCCTGCTGATAAACCGAACCCGAATCATCAGGTGCCGGCTTTACGTACGCTACCCAAGTCGTGTATCAAGATCTATAAGAACGGAGTGTTTATGGGAACCCCTTTCACCGACCTCCTCGCCTTTCTACCACCTGCTTCGAAACCGCAGGTCCAAGTAGGCGCAAGAGAGGGTATGGATGATGGCATGGCTGGATACTACCCCGCGATCAGCGTGTTCCGAGGAGGCGCTGCCGAAGTCAATTTCGGCCCTGACTTCTGGTACCCTCCCCCAGGATACACCAATGTCGATCCCAATAGCAGCCTCTCAGACCCCGACGGGGACGGTGACGTAGAAATGGTCGACGTTGATACGGTCAAGGTCGCCACGACCAACACCGATCTCGCCCACGACGAAAACAAGGACAAGGTACGCCCTGTGGCAGAGCGCTACGACGAGCAGATTGTGGAAGACGTCGTGGCGGACATCGTCGACGAGGTGGACTTCTGGATGCGCGACGGCGCACGCGTCATCGATCGGACAGGTGGGAGGGACGCGAAAGCGGAGACTACGGCTGGGATCGCGCCCGCCAGGGAGGAAATCAAGGAGCTCGTGCAAGACGACTAGAGTCCGTCAGGATCTAGAGCTGCGAGACGGTCCTCTGGTGGGGCGAGGAGAAAGGCAAAATGGAGAGCTGATAGTGGTGCTACTCCTGGTAAGACTATGAGGGGTAGGAAGGTGGTTAGGAAGAGTTATGCGGAGGTGGACACGGATACAGATACAGATACAGATACGGATTCGGACGATGATGAGGATGAGGAAGAGGAAGAGGAGGAAGATAGCGATGTGATGAGTGCAGACGAACAGAGCGAGGACGGGAGCGTGAGAGGAAGGTCGACGAGTATCAACTCTGATCTCTCCGATCCCTCTGATTCGTCGGAGCCTGAATACGAACCCAAATCTAAAAGCAACAAAACTAAGAAGACAAAGCCCAAGTCTAAGTCTAAGCCCGAACCCAACAAACCCTTGCCTAGCCGCGTTCAGAGCCTCCGATCTACCAAGGAAAAACAGAGACAGATGGAGAAACAGAAGGCGGCTGACAGACGAGGCAGCTTGAGAAAGAGATAAGGGCGACCGACTATTCTTCCTTCGTTACCTGGTGGGGTCTGGGGAGAATATACCTTCTACTTCTACCAGTCTTGCTTCCATTTCGCCTTGATATGAGGGCTGAGGCTATGGGCTGAGGCTGAGATGTGTGTTTAGTTGAGTCTTGAGGTTAGCTAGGGATTTGAAGATAAGGCTGGCTGGCTGGCTACCTACCTACATAGCAAAGTCTGAGGTCGACTCAATGAGATAATTACTGAAGACTTTCTTGTCGAGATGAGTGACTTGGAGATGTTGAGATGCGATGTAACATGCTTGCTTGGTACACTTTCTGTTCACTTCTTTACATTAGCCTCCGAGCGGGATTTGCTTGGCGAGGCCTTGAGGGTCGAGCTTTGGATTGAACGTCTACGGTATCTATGAATCTACCGACCTTGTGACGAAATGTAGATAACCCCTATTCAAATGATGCGTTTCAGATTGTATTATCACATAGGGGTATGTTTTTATTCCTATATTTCCTGCTCACGTCTGGTCCCCCTTTCTCACCTCATGCCATCCATTTCGAAGCATATGAAGCCCTATGAAATTTGAACATATTTTGTTTCAATAGACCAAGCCGCCCCAAAGATCCTGTATTTAACCAACCAACGTAGTAGAGTGAAAAAATCCAATCCCTCATGAATGTGTGAAAATAACCGGGTATCTCCATATTACATCGATCCGTCCCGTCGTACGTATGTCTTCATAACCTCATCAAAGATGGACAGACAAATCAGCAGCGTAATAAACCCTTGATACCCCCATTCCCCGTCCCCCAACCCTTTTAACCCGTGCTGCCTTGCCCTTGAATGAATAAGTCACCTCTCTCAACTGCTTCTTCACTTCTTCCCATTCACCTCCTTCCCCTCCTCCACCGGACTAGACACCTCAATAGCCGGCTGCTGCGAAGAACCCGGCGCGTCCTCCAAAAGCGGCACACCCTTCCCCTCCCCTCCATCCCCACCATCCTTCTCCCCATCATCCACCTCCTCAACCTCGCCAACAACAACCCCCGGCTCCCCAACCGCCTTATCCGCCCTCTCGCTAGCCTCCCTCTCCAACCTGACCTCCCTGCCCCTCTTATAGCAGTACCACAGCACGCTCAGCAGCAAGAACACCGCCATGCTCCACAGCACGTTCGTACCGACGAACGCCGGGAACCGCGTCTTCAGCGCATTCACGATGCCCTTCAGCAACCCCACCACGGCTCCCGGTTTCGTCACCAACTCCATCAGGTTCCCGGGACTCAGCAGCTTCTTCGCGCCCTCCTTCCCGGCCTCCTCCTCCACCTTCAACCCCTGCGCCTCCGCCGCCACAGCCAAGATCTCCGGGGCTAGAGACGAGGTGAGTTTGTCCGGCAGCTGCGCGACGAGCTTCTTCAGGCTCTTCGGCAGCTTCTCGTACGACCTCGCCAGCACCCCGTCCCGGTCCTCGATTAGCTTCACTAAATCCTGGTACGCCGTCGGCACGCCGTTGACGAGGTCCTTGAGCACCTGCGTGAACTTGCGCAGCGTCTCCGCCGACTCTTTCGACAGCGAGAAGGCTTTGTTGTCCATTGAGGCCGCGAGGTTCAGGTCCTCGAGCACGTGCGCCATGTCCGCTTCTTCCTTCCGGGCTTCTTGCTCTGGGTCCGTGACGACGGCGGTGGTGGTGGTGGTGGAGGGGGGAACGGTGAGGTGTTTGTCCTTGTGCTTGTGCTCGTGCTTGTCGCCGGGCTTGCGCTTGAGGCTTATGTTGCGGGAGAGATTGGTGACGAAGGTGAAGCGTTTGG